TAATAATAAAGTATCTGTGGGTTTTGGGCTGCCGCCATAAGAACAAGCAGTTTGACTGTATTTACAAAATAACCAGGTGACTGATATTGAAAACTGAGGTGACCACCTCATAGTTGGATGCTCTTCTGACCAGTCCAGTTACATTTTACTTTATTATGAGTCCAGCATTCGGAACACAAAACATATTAAACCACTAAATAAATAATTTCTTTATTTGATCATTTTGTAATGTTGAAAGTTGGAAAGCACTTTGAGTCAACTTCTGTTGCTTTAAATGTGCTATATAAGGAACCATGTCGTATCCTATCAGATGTTTAGGTGAAATGCTGTCATAACTATCTTATGGATTCTTGAGTTACGGCCATAAATGAATGGACAACCCAAACACATAATGCCTCCAGGTTCAGCTGTTGTCGATGTGGGCAATAAAAAATGCGAGCTATAAAAACATTTAGGTATGTTTTAAAACCGTATAAAGGATAACACGGCCATTTTCTATGAGTTATGAAATGACCTTCCTGTGACCTGTCTGTAAAGACGTCTAAAGACAGGAACAAACTAGTAATCAATATCAGATCAGCCAGTTCTACTATCATTAAACCAGTGATTGATACCAGCCCTTAAAGGCCTGACTGTGGCATCCATACCAGAAACAATCTTCCACTGAGCACCAAACCTTCTTCCAGATTTCTATTTCCAGCCACTAAGCTTAACCTTTAACCACTTCATCACCTGTAACTCTTACACAAGGAACTTTAATGTCATCTTCAGGTTTGTTCAAGGGACTAAATTAAACCTGAGCCGATTCCATTTTGTCAAGCTGGATTTTATCTTGCACATATGCAATCATTAAAATGAACGCACAGTAATGCTGCAAACAAAGCAGTTATTGATAGGATTTCCTGTTAGCGACCGATGTGACCCTCGCGCTGAAAGAGAACTGCAGCATTCGATAAGGTGGTCAATTTAGGCCTCTTATCAGCTCTTAGGCTTTTAAAATCCTGCTGAAATGTCAATACACTATTTTAAAGTCGGTATAGTGTCAAAAAAAAATGGCGCCGCCTCACCCACAGCTTTGTACTGCTTTTCATAACTCGCATATAAAGAAGATGAGATAACCTTCCCGCACCTAATAATGCTTCCCATAAAAGAGCCGGAGCTATTCGTCTGATTGCTGTTATTGTGCGAGTTTTTCAATTACAGCTCGCACAAAGAGCCCCGCGAGAAACTCTGAAATATGTGTCGCCGGATCAAAAGACAGGGGGGCTCCTCCGAATACACAACTTTTGATTTGAGCGCTTGACACGCGACGCTTGACAAGCTGACCTTGAGGTTGGGTGATTTGAATGAGCCAGGTGTGATTAGGGAAGTGTATCCATGGCGAGTTGTCACGGCAACCAATTTATGTGAAGTCAGACCTCGTTAACAGGCAATCTACGGCATTCTTTTTTTTTTTTTTTTATTGTTTTTCAGATTCCTGCTGTTTGAACAAGCTGCTGTGCAATTAATTAAACGCTATCAATCATACGGTCCTATTAGGGAATATCAAATATCTGATTCCAGAAGTGTGTGCGTTCACATCCGCCTCTCCTCTGTGTGTGTTTGTAATATGATGTGCTCCGTCCAAACACCCCCTTTTTTTTTCTCAGATGGCCTTGGGCAGCAGTCTGATGAAAACAAGTCCTGTCTCCTCTCTATTACCCAGCAGCCCACACTTATCAATAGCTCTCCCCTCGTCTCCGGCGCACAGACCTGCTGCTGTTTTCCTCCCGTGGATCCTCCTGACCCAGGAGCCCTGAGTTGTACTTTAGAAAGTAAACAAGCCTATGTAGAGGCTGGAAGACGAGCGCCGGTTTAAATCATGTAGAGCCGCTGGTGCAGAGGGAAAAGGAGAGAACTGAGAGTGAACTACATTGTTTTTGTCTTTCGCTGCTTTGTGTTTGCATTTGAAGGCTAGCCGTGATCTCCATTTGACACGTATCGGTTTATTGATTTATTTTGGCGTCTTCAGATTTCTTCTTCTATCCAACCAACACTCCAAAAACCCAAAGATGTTGCATTCATAATAATGTAACGCACATAATCTTTACACCTATGTTAGACGCAGGCAATATTTTATCATGTTTCCTTGATTTAAACCATTGGAATTACTAATCTACGATCAAAATAGTTGTTTATTGCATCACCAGTTCATTGTTTGTTGTACCCTCGTGTTGGATTTGTCCACACGAAGGAAAAAACCCTGGCGTATTTTAATTTATAAATGTGTTTTAGGCCTGCTTCCTCGCTATTTACAGGTTTTTATTCGTACTAAAGCTCCTAGTGGCTACATGATCAGTTGCTACCTGAGGCTAGAATCATCAGGCTATGTTTCGACAGATGATTATTTTGCTGGTTATGTTTCTGATCTCTACTGATACGTTGATTTCTTATCTTGAGTATGTAATCACCATGTATTACGATGTCTATGTGGATTCCGTTGGGACTTCATCTGTCTGTCAATTGTGCTGCTGCCTGTCTTGGCCAGGATTCCTCCATCTCTTTATGAATAAAAAAGGTTGATAAACTTTTCTTTCAGAGTCTAACGTGAGAAAAAAGTGGAAAAATGTCAGATTTCCCAGAGTCTGCGGTGACACGCTGTCAGTCAAACGCAGCAAATAATTTAATAAAACAGGGAAAAAAAGCACATTTAACAGGCAAATGTGACATTTTTGCTATGAAAGAAATGTGTTCGATAACAAAGAATTTCAGCTTTATGAAATCTAAACATGTTTATGAAAGATTTCCAGCTGCTTGTTTTGTTTGTCCAAAACTTTCTAATTATGTAAAGCAGCAAATCTGAGAAGCTGAAATACCCAATCTGGCATTTTAGTTTTATAAATGACAACAACAACTGATTTGAAAATCGCTGCTGACCACTTTTTTTTTTTTAGTGACATAAGAGGCCTGTGCTTCATCTTCAAATTAGTTTGAGCTCCACCAAAAACAACAACACGTTTATAATCATGCAATCAGACAAGCTTTTAATACTGCTTGTTATTTAACTCAGTCATGGCTTTTTTATTCTACCCAGAGCTGACAGTGCCTTTGTTTTGTCCTTTTTGTTTAAAAGTCATTTCCCTTCTACACTCCTCTGCTCTACATGATTTCTAACAGGGATCTCGTTCCCTGCTATTACACAACAACACGTCCTCTATAGTGAAAAGAACAAGACGTATCTGTGCAATCTATTTTCCAGACCATAATGTAAACAGAGTTCTGTTCTCATGCTTATATCCTGTTTCAGGTGTAGTCCTCCAGCAGCAGCAGCAGAACTGGTACAAAGCAAACGAGAGCTTGGGCAAATAGTATTTGCATACGCTTTTAATGGCTTGTTTTGTCAAATGAGCCGCCAATGGGTGGAGTCTGCCACTAAAACCAAGAAAATGGGTTCAGCAAACCACAGCTCAGCATCGTGTGTAAATCAGCCATCGTGATGTGGTGAATCCGACCTGCCCGGGGCTAAAGAAAAGCAGGTTTAGGAGATACATTGATGGATAACAGTCTGAAAACGATCAGAGGGTTGTGTGGGTCAAACAGCGGGCGTGATGTGTTTGGGCCCGCTGACCGAGAGTTCAACGAGGCTACATGGTGGACGTGCAAACACAGCTCAAGGCCGTGAGTTCTGGACTGAATCGAGACATCCCCAATAACAGCCCTCCATTCACTCATTAACTTCCCCTTCATGTGTTCAAGGTGTTCTGGAAATTTTTTCGGTGGGCTCACACACACTGAAACATTAAAGGCCATTCTTAGTGTTTTTTAATCTATTTTTTTTAACTTCATGTTTGTTATTGCTTTTAAAACATACATGATAACTAAAATAACACATAAAGACGACGTCCCCACCCTAACTTTACATCAAAACAACAATGATTAATCGCTCAGTTGATTCAACTATCGAATGAATCACCAACTGTTTAGAGAATTGATTCATCACTGTAATCAGTTTATTTATTATTTTAATGAAGGTACAAATTCTCTGATTTCAGCTTGTAATATTTGTTTGGTTTCCTTTATTCTACGATGTTTGTAAACTGTTTATCTTTGGGTTGCTGACAAAACAAAATTTTCCACTATTTTATTTTATTTTTTTGACATTTTACAGACCAAACAACTAATCGATTAATCAAGAAAATATTTTGTTGCAGCCCTATTTTGTTTTGTTTTATTTTAATTATTTTTTTGTTGTGACTGGTAATGGATATGTTGGAGACAAGGTTTTTTAAATACTTTTTTTGTTCTTTTTCTTTTTGCTTTGTTTTAATAGGATATGATATTTGGGCAACAAGTATTTTTCCTACCCAACATATTTGAATTTCATGTTTTTTTATGCTTATAAAACAAAACATACGTGATGATCATAATAATGACATATGAAGACATCTTTGGGTTGTTGACAAAACAACATTTTTGTTGTTGACATTTTATAGACCAAAAAAACAATTAATTAATCAAGAAAACAATCGTTTTTTTGTTTTTTTTTTGGTGACTGGTAATGCATATATTGGAGAAAGGTTTCTCAAAAAAAAAGAAGCTATATTTACTTTTTTAAAAATTTATTATTTATTTAATAGGACAAGCCATTCGTGCAACAGGTGTTCCTCCTCGGTCAGTAAATAACTGCCTTAACATATTTGTGAAGCTACTCAAAACATCGTCTTACAACAGTCTTATCACACTTAAATTGTGTTTTCATTGAAGTTATTAATTGCAGCATACCTACATGGTGGTTTTAACTATTTCTTTTCTGGTATTTCTTTGTTTTCCAGGAGGACTCTCGCCATATGGCTGACTCTACCCACCTGTTGCTGACCGTCGAAGCAGCGCTAGCAAACCTTTAACTACGTCTTAACTACACTTCTCTGCTAACTAAATCCTGACCACAGGTTTAAATTTAAGCCTTGCACATTGATAACATTTGAAGGAGAAAAACAACAAAAAGTCGTGTTCCAGCTTACCTGTCGTGCTAAGCGAAGGTGTGGCACTTTTGCCGCAGGTATCAAAAATGCGCGGATGTCATTAAAGTTGTTTCTCTTCCGGTCCTCGCGCTCAGTAAGAAATTAGAAAAAGTGTTGGAAAAAGTAGAAGCTCCAGTCAACATGTTGAGCTAGAAGAGACTTCCTTCCTCTGCTCTGAGTTGTTGTGGTGAGTCGCTGGGAAGAGTTGCCCCCCCTCGGTGGCTCCACGGTCCCATGTCTCCGGTGTGAACAGCAGTCTGCTGATGGGTAGTTAGTCTGGGGAGACTAGTGGACCAACGGTCAAGTTGCGCGCCGCGACGCACGGCTGCTTCCTGTTAACCCCTTCACAATAAAACTGATGTTCTCACGGCAAAGTCTGACTGAGTTGGTTATTTTATTTTTATGTAAATGAAAGATAACATTATTGGGGCTCATGCTTCACATTGCTTAAATTTGTATAATAAACAAAATACTACGGTTTTAGCCCCCTAATACTTTTACTGCTTTGACCATTTTAATTCGTAAATGATACTTTATTGTCTTAATATTTAAAATTGAACATTTATAAAGTCAGTCTTGTTACTTCACTGGAAAACACTATGTCTCATGGTCTTGTGTTTTAAATGTGCTACATAAATAGCACTATTTTCATATTTAGTTCATCGTTTTGTTATCAAAAATGGCTTCATTTTCCCAGAATTTATTGATGTTCATTCATTTTAAACACAATTGCTTTGTTATTAACATTAACGTTAATATAACAATTTTAACATAATTTTAAAATGACATAGTGTTATATTATATACACCAATATTTACATTTATAGTGTGCTTTATGCAACCATAACTTGAAAAGAGAACCAAATCGATTAAGCTTTGTTTTTGTTTTTTTAACTGCTTTAAATTTATATTGGCGATTTCTGTTCATTATTAATCCCTACCTTATTTTTAATTACCCACACTGATATTTAACACTACACCAATGTCTTTTACACGAGGAGTTAAAATAGGTGACTTCCTGTCGTGACCCACTAACCTGCCCAGCTTGACGCAGCTTAACCTGACCTGCCTCTTCACAGTTACCATGGCTGATCATATGACTTAGATGCGATTAGAGTGAAATAACCCCCTTAGCACTTGCTCTCCACTTAACAAAATCTGGCATCATTCCAGAGAAGGAAGAAAAATGAGGAGATACTTTAAGTTCTTGGTGCAAGTCTGACCTAAAACTTGCACTTAAGAGTACAATTTCTCCCACAGTGACATGATAATATAGTGTTATATAACGCAGTTTTAACCATTTGTTTTCAAGAGTCATGCAAAGGGGAAAATTCTTCAAACAAAAACCCACATTTTTGATTGGCTGTATTGTGCAGAAGCAGCTTTATTTAAGTGACAGGATATTAAATTAATGAGTGTATTATTCCTCACAGTGTAGAGAGTGGACTGATCACCATGACTTGACGGACAAATTACCTCCCTGAGGCTGACACGCAACTGAAAAACCGGTTTAGTGTTTACAGATACACAAGTGCAGTGCTGTATGGGTCAAAAACAAAAATCCCGACCAGTATTTGAAATGTATTTGGAGCTGCAACACAAAGAAGTTCAAAACATTGATGTAAATGAAGAAGGAAAAGAGCTAAAATTCCATTTGCATTCTTTCCTAACTGTAAAATAACACCGTCTCATGCAGCGCTCTGGTTAAATTGGTGCACACAGCTGTACGGTTGTTTTTAATGCATGCAAGTATGAAGGTGTACGTTTTTTCAGTTGCTTTCGTGGGTTTTTTTGGAAAAGAAAAGCGCTCGGAATGTCATTGAAACCAGACTAGAGATGTTTTTCACCGCTCTGGCTCCGGTTGACAGGATGGCGTCTAACATTCTGGCTAAGACATAAAACATGACAACAATGTGACACATCAGATGCGAAATGGAACCCTCGCAGACATATTCAAAGACACGGCCAGTGGTGCCGCATAAATGCTTTCCATCACTTTCCACTCCACTGCTTCCTCCTTTTTTTTTTTTTTTCTTGTGATGAATGAAACTTTGACACAAAGGAGTGTCAATTCCTAAAAGTTATAAATAAATGCTTTAAAGCTATTTGGGAAATATACCTATTTGACTTTGTGCAGAGAGAGGATTGATAATATAATTCATGTCCATGGGTGAAGACTTCTTTTGGACATTGAAGGAGACGTCCGTCCATCCATCCATCCATCCATCCATCCATCCATCCATCCATCCATCCATCCATCCATCCATCCATCCATCCGCATATATATATTATATACTATATATGAACTCTGTATATATACTACTTACGTTTTTGTTTTTTACTTATTGAGTACTTTCTTGCCATAGGTTTGCCATACGATTCAATTCATGCATCAGACAGCATCACGTCCAAATGTTGACCCAATCAGGTTTAACGCCCTTTTTTGAGATTATACCAATCAGCCACAACATTAAAACCACTGACAAGTAAAACTAATGGCCTTGATCATCTAATTAAAATGCATTTTCTACTTGGAAACCTTAGTTCCTGACAATCAGCCCCACCACGGCGCTACAATGTGCCCCACCACAACTCAAGAACTGCTTAGAAACAGCCCAAGGTGTTGCCCTGACCTCCAAACTTCCCAGATCCCAATCTGATCGAGCATCTGTGGTGATGTACTGGAACAAGCCCAAAACTTTTGGTGCCAGACCTCATAGGACACCCCCAAGAGGTCCTGCATCTACACCCCAATGGTTGAGAGCTGTTTTGTCAATACGACGGGGACCTACATGGCACTAGGCAGGTGGTTTTAGTATTGTAGCTGATTGGTGTGAATGAGAGCAAAACAGAGGCAACACACTATTGCTGGTGTTTGATCCAAATAAAACAGACTCTGTGGAAAAACAATTCCACCTCATTTACGAGCCACTCAGCAACACTACTAAATGGATATTGCGGTTAGATTGTTTCCAAGGTCTAGAATTGGCTTTGGAGACAAATGACTTTGTGGTTTTGACCTTTTTTTCTTCTTCTAAAGTTTAAACTCTATTGTCAGTCACTTCTGTAGTTTCAGAAAGCCTTTCATACCAAAAGTAATACCTTTGATCCGATGTCAAACATTGCTGAATGTCCTCATTGTTGGGCTTCGGCAGTGACGCATCAGTCGACAGAAATGCTCATGGACTACGGAATGAACTGAGTCATTGCTGGACAAGTGTCGCCCTTTAAAATTGGGTTAATCTACATGAAAAAGGAAAGCACCCTCTGCTAGAAGAATTCTGTAGTCATGGAAGAAAAATTAAACACAATAGGTGGATTCTGTGAAGGCTCTTTTGTTTTGTGTCTACTAGCTGTCACTGGGTATCATTCCGTCCTCCTCCTCCGGTTCTCACAAATAAAATCCCCAAAAGCAGCAGCAGCAGCAGCAGCACAGAGTGGCCGCTCTAATCTCTTTAACCTATCACAAGCAAACATTTCCCATCTCCTACTGCTCACCTGAAATCAAAGTAGAGCAACGGACTCGGAGCGGAGAGCCTTCACATGACAGCGTCTCTCCTCCCAGCACGCTTCAGAGGAATTAGGTCAGGGCTTGTTGGTAGGTATATTTTCCTAACCGAGGTCTGGCGTCGATGCATTTGGGGGAAAACGTGGGGGGAAAGAATAAGTGGCTGAGTTTCATCGATGGGATTCATCATCACAACTCGCAGACTAAATGTACCCAAAATTGGCGGGATTTCCCTCTGCAAACACGCCATATTTGGAGAAAGGCTTTTAGTTAGTCAAACACGGGCTACTCAAACAACCGGAGGATGTTTTTCAAAGCTGATACCGAGCTGGGTTTAATTTCAGCTGCCAGTAAGGTTAAAGTGTTTAGCGGTGGCTGGTTTATCTGGACTGCCAGAGAGTAGAGAGGAGGAGGAGGAGGCGGCGGGAGGTGGGGGGAGGAGAAGCAGTGACTCACAGGCTTCCCCATCGCGGAAAATACAGGTTACAGTGGAGGCAAAAAAAAATACAAGGATGACAAAAGGAGGGCTTATAGAGCAAAATGCTGCTGACAAAGAAGGTGGCTATTTTGGGGTTGGGTAAATAAGAGGCAATGTCATAGCGCACCTACAGTAGGACACACACAGGAACGCACTGTTTGACCTGTGGAGACCTCCTGTTCGACAAACAAGCGGTGTAATTATACGCCTGTGCGGCGCTGCAGGTGGAATGTGCTAGCGATAGTCAAGCCCTTGTTGTCCTAAGGACTGGAAGCAGCCCCAACAGCCAACAGACATGAGCTCACCATCATCACAATGAGAGGCGTGGCCAAGCCCGCCGACCTGATGTTGCCGTGGAGACAGGACACACACACACACACACACATATACACGCACGCATGCACACAGACAGATTGGCTTAGAGTGACACCGCTGGGAAATTAAAATGGTAGCCCAAAGCAACAGGGTTTTATTGGCCAATCACAGTTTGATCCTGGATGTGTTTACTTTGCAAGTTTGTGTGTGTGTCTATTTGTGTGTGTGTGTGTGGCGTAGAATAGGTAAGCTGCACATGCTAATTATAATGACAATGTCAGCCAGCGTTGGAAAAATATTCACCACGCTTGTCCGCTGTTCGGCATCAAGCAATTACTGGCCTATCAAATCCTTTTACATCTCCGATCCGTGTGTGTGTGTGTGTGTGTGTGTTTGTCAGCGCTGTCGGTGAGAACAAGAAAAAACAAACTTCATGAATTACCTGTTTCACAGCATGCTCTGCAGCTTAACTTACAGCCAGCAGTACTTCAGGACTGAGTTGATTGTAGCCAATTAGACCTCAGTTGTTGTCAGTGAAAACGGAGCGCTGTAATGACTCGCAGCAGAGTGGAGGCAAAAAGTGAACCATTTTATTACATTAAAATGTTTCATACAAACAATGCATACACACTAGTTTCATATTGCTTCAGACATAAGTTTCTTTTCTGTTTGAATTTTCCAGTTAAACAACTCTGTAACAAAATGTAAGTACAACATTTATGAAAATATAAATCTCTAAACAGGTAAGTCAGTCCTGACGATACAAAGAATACCATAGAAACATTCATTACCAGTATGTCAACTATGAGTTGCAAACATGTAAGTTATTAAAAGTCATTCAAGTTACTTAACATACAATAATACCATTTACTGGCTTCCATATGGACACATTCAAATATACTCTTAAACTGGCATTCCAATATATTTTAGAAGAGGACTCTTTTTCAAACTTTTTTTTTCTCCTTTTTTTTATAGCAAAGATAGCACATTTTCTCTATCATAAACATAATCACAGTCCAACACTGAAACAATTTTGGTAACAATATAATTACAGTACAAGCCTCAAAAACCAATGAGACAAAATGAAACACAAACTATAATTGGGACTTTGGCAATTACATGATAGAATTTTTTTTATTTTTATTTTTTAAACTTTTTTTCAATTTAGAAACTCTTGAGTTCGGAGGGAAATAAAGTGTTTTAAAGCTTGGTGCTGCTACCCGGTTGTGAAATTATCCAAGGGCCATTACCTCAACTGTTCAAAACTAGTAAACATACAATAAGATGGAATAGCCCTTAAAAAGTATATGTAAAAGTGAAAGTGTTTTTTTTTTTGTTCGTTTGTTTCAATCATGCCTGGCAGATGATTTGACTCATCGGAGTTAAAGACTGTCGAAAAAATAAATTAAGTTTTGGGTTATTACAGACATGCTTTTAAAAGCTATCACGGCACCTGCAAGGTACAACCTCATAGACTCCTAAATGTTCTTTTAGATTGTCAGCGGTTTTAATTTCAGCCTGTCATGCTGTTATCAGTTTCTGCAGACTCAAATAAGGGTCAAAAAGATCAACAGCCTGTGAAATAGTGTAGGAAAAAATTGGAAACCTATGGTGGTATACTACCTTTTTTCGGGAAAAAACCCAGCCTGAGACATTAATCTTTGCGAATGTGTACGAAAACGCTGAAAAATGAGAACAAGAAAGTAATGCTTGTGTGACAAAGAATTGAACAATGAGGCAGAAAGTGCAAGTAAATGTAAAAAAAAAAGTACATTTAAAATGCAACTTCTGCTTCGAATCTGTGCTCACGTATTCGCAAAAGCAGTCAAATTGTTCGACAGTTTTTTTCCCGCACATTCCCAGTCTTAAAGATCTCGGGCAAAGTTTTTTCACTGTTTTGCAAAAGGTGACAAACACAAGCTCTGAAGTAGAGACGTCACGATATTAGCGTTTCACTACGTCATGATGGCAGCCAAAAGAATTCACAATTACGATATTATACATAATAAACGAAGCTAGATTCATTTCTATTATTGTTCATTCTGTGTTTTGTCTCATTTTTGCCAAATGAAATACACTCAAAATATGAGTGTAGGGAGGCGAAAATTGAGTCTGTAGTCTTAACTGTACTGTATGTTGTTCCTAGTACTTGGTTATGTATGATATTATCATATGTGTACTTGTGCAACATGACACAAATATTTCATTTTTTTTAACATCGTGGTTGCTGACAATAACAGCAGTTCATCACAATCTTCCTGACCCTTATTTAATCCCACAGTTTCCCAAATTTCTCATCTCCGATGCAAATTGCAAAAATTACGGCATCCTCTTTTTTTTTTTCCCCCCCCCCAATACCAAGTATATATAAAGAGACTGTAGCATTTCAAGTGAGTCAGCTGTAGCCTGCAAGTACCTGGATGGCCCGTGTGTTTCTGTAAGCAGACCCAATCCAAGTTTTAAGACAAATCTAGATCACTCTTAACAATTTCTACAATGTTTCATATAAATAAATCTAATAATTTCTCACAAACCACTCATAAAGTGCTTCCACCTACTGGCTAAACTTCTAAATATATTCACATGGCCAAGGTTGTTTCAAACATTGGGCTAAATCACTCTGTCCTTTTATACTGGAACATTTGAAGGAACTCCACTAAACCTAAAGCAAGAACACTGGTTAAGGCGTGAATGTGTATGGTGCTATGCTACACTGTATGCTCAATAGTGGTGTTTCCCTTAAAACGGAACAGGGCGCAAATCGACGGAACTGCAGGTAAATTCACATCAAGTTTGCGTAAACTGTTCCGAGAAATTACTACAACTGTCATTACAAAGAGCAATGCCATCCATCTATCTCTCGTTGTTGTCGACTGGATTTCACTACACTGATCGTCTAGATTTAACGTCAATGCAAGTATTATGTAACGGTGCGTATACTGTGTTTACAAATTCCCTGCATTTTCATAAATCTTGTAATCTGCACATAAAGAACATTTTAAATTCCAGGCACTCACTTTGATTGCATTAAGCACAACATAACATTTTTAAGGAGTTGCACAAATTGCAGCAGCCAAAAAGAGATATGTACATATGTTCATAGTTCTTCCTTTTTGTACAGTACGGCCTGATGTAAATACAAACATAAATATACTCTTTTAAGAACAACATTATGGCTTAATGTGCACAATGAAAATAAAGACAGTGTACAATGAAAGTGGCTAAGATCACTGGAATGGCTTTGAAAATGTTTGACCGAGACATTTGAATAATAACTTTGTTCTTCAAATGCAAAAGGACACATAATGGCAAACTAATACTTCACGGAATTGACATTTTTCTTCTTTTCAAAAACAGTATTTTTCTAACAGTCTTCATGTGTAAAACAAACATAAAGTGTATCATAAGTTGGAAGTAAGTAATACATAATTTTGAGTGCAGCGTTAAAATGGTCGGCCCATTAACTACCCAGAGGGCTGACATCTGCAGCTGAATCACGTGGCTGTAAACAAGAATCAACTGCGACCCCAGAGATTCTAAGCTTTGTCACCTGTGTCCACCCACCTCCCCTAACTCCTCCTACTCCTTTGATCTCCACCTATCACTGCAGCAGTTCAGTCTTTTTTGTAGGCGTTGTCGACTCACCTTCTCCAGAGTCCGACACGTTGATGGGGCTGTCCCTGGAGAACACCTCTGTTGACTCCCTCCAAATGCAGTCAGCAACGGATTTAAAGGAATGGTTGCCACACTTGGGCCGCACCTTCTGCGAGGCGTTGTTGACAATCTGTCGGCTGTTGGAGGTGGCTATCTTTATCTTGAGGGCAGCATCCACGCGATCCACAACCGTGTATGTGCCGATGCTGCCATCCTCAAAGCCAATGATGATGTTTAGTGCTCGTTGGGAAAGAGACAGGAAGGTTGGGGTCTTGTAAAGTGAGCATGTGCCGATGCTCTTACCATCAGCAAGCCGCATCACGATCAGATTGGACACAACACCAGCATCGTCGTCTTCGTCACAGTTCCGGAAACAGACGTAGACAAGATAGCGGCCATCTCTTGATAATTTTTGACGCCAGATTATACCTGCAGCGTGGACAAGCCGCAGCTTCCCACTGTGAAGATCCAGGACGTTAATGTTCTCATCGCCTTTGGAGACAATTCCTAATTTCCCATTGGGAGAGATCTGGAAGTCCTCTAGATTTTTGAGGAAGTTGGTTGGGAGCTGGACACGTCTGCAAACAGACTCATCTGCCACACTCCAGATGAAGACAGTCTCTGTGGATGTAATGAAGACCACACAGTCAGGGCAGTCAGGAATGAGCTTGAAGTTGACAATAGTAATACCATCATCACAGACAAACTTCTTTGATACGCTGCCCGACCAAAGGCTAACAGCAAGAAGCTTGTTTTTGGATGTTCCCACCAGGAACGTGTTGGCTGTGGTGATCAGTGCATTCTGTAGAGTGACTAAGATGTTGCACACTTTGTGCCCAGTTGCAAGCCTCCAGACTCTGGAAGCATTCTGCTCACAGAGGGACACCACAAACTGGTCGTTGTGGGTGATTAGCAGCTGTGATATTCTCTGTCCATTGATGCGGAAGATGTTTTCTCCGGTGTTGGTTTGCCAAATGTATTGACTGGACTTATCGTCTGAAGTCACCATGAGATCCCCTGAGGAGGTTAGGACACAGTTCTCCACTATGCCCTCGTGCTTGAAAACTGTCTCAATAAATCCAGTGCTAAAGTTCCACTTGTGGACAGCTTCTGAGCCATCCATGGTAAACACGTAGTCCTCTCTGCCGGACAGCTGCAAGGTCTGAATCTTCTTGCCTGTTTTGTCAATGTTGGACATGGCGGTGATGATATCAATGTCCCAGACAGACAGAACTCCACTGCTGGCAACGGAAAGCAGCAGATTGTGGTGGACTGATTTGATAAGTTTTACAATAGCCCCTGAGATCTCAATCAGGCTAGCCATGCACTGTCCACTGTCCCTCCTCCAGACAAAGATGGAAGAGGTGTTTTCCATGGAGGCCACAATGCTTTGTCCATTCTTGGAAAGAACAGCTGCAACAAAGCGTTCACTACGTTTGGCTTTAAACTTCTCCACCATTTTCCATACTTTTGTATCCAGAACCTCAATACTCCTGGCCTTGCAAATGAGAATGGAACGTTGGTCTTCAGATAACTCGATGCCCACCACTTCACTGTCATCCCCTCTACAATCATAATCCTCCATCAGTCTTGGGTTGGTGATCTCTTTGGTGTTCCACACTGACAAACTACCTTCATTGTCAATCATCACCATTTGGTTAAGGGTGTCCAGCACAAGGATGGATTTGACGAACCCCCCGGAAAACTCAGACGTCACAGTGGCCAACTTGTCACCATTCCCGAGATGAAAGACGGATGCAGTGTTGAGGTACTGGCCACAAAAGGCATACATTCCATCAGGCGAGCACTGGACACAAGTCACCTCATACCAGCAGTGAAACTGGTAGAGAGGCCAGCCGTAGAGGAGGTCAATGACATTGACGTCTTTACTTGCTTCAAGCCAAGCCAAAGCGTGATGGGTAGACAAAGTAAAGCCATTGATGAAGGCAACCCCACCAGCGACACCACTGTGCTTGGACCCCTTGATTTCAACCTCAGATAAAAGGCAGGACTTGTGATTATCATAGATGAGCAATGTATTTTTGGTTGTCGCCACGACCAGATACTTCTCATCAGAGGTTAGCCTGATTCCCAGCACAACAGACCTGGCTGTGTCAATCTGTCGTAGAAGCTGTCTGCTTTCTACATCCCAGGTGCTGACAGACCCATCCTCCAATGCTACAAGGACTATGTTTGGGGCTAGAGTGGGCAAGATCTCCACAATCTGCATGTAACTGGAGCACAGAGGAAGCCTTTCTGGACTGTAGGTGACGTCCATAGATGAGTGGAGAGGCACAATAGAGCAGTACTTCGGGCCATCTTTGTCACACTCCAGGAGGAGGTGTCTGAGCTTTGGAAGTGAGGTGACAACTGGCAAAAGCCTTTGCTGCAGCTCTGCAGACAGCGATGCTGGGTTCTTCAGCACTTTTACCTTGATGCTACGGAGGGTGGTGGCCAGAAATTTCAGTTCTTTTTCTTGGGTGTAGCTGTAAGCTAGGTCAATGTCTGTTAAAGCCTTGTCAAACTGGCCAATCTTGATCATTGTGTAGAGCCAACTAAAGTTCATGATGACACCAAACATAAGGTCATCTGTGCGCCCGCTTCTGGTAAGGTGATACACCAGCTCCGTCATCTTTCTGTGATTGACAAAGAAAATGTCGGGCTCCAAAAGGTTGCACTGGAACACCCAAGGTTGTTCAGGAGTCTGTCTGTCATAAGAGTACTTATCAGAAGATGTTTTTTCATGGGACTGCTGATGGTGAGGGTTTTTGTGATGAGAAATGTTCAGGGAAGTGAAGTGGTTGTTGTCGTAAGTAAAGATTTTCTTCCTGCCTCCCGACCAAGCCCCGAGGAAGTACTCAGCCAAGAGGCTGTGCATTTGATGCACATCCTCTTCATTACTAAGGTACAGCTTCTGGGCAATGAGATGCAGGTGTCTGTTGGCCCAGACCATCAAGGTGACATTCCGCACCTGACGCTCCACCAGATAGCCGTCCAGCTCCTCTTTAAGCTTTGCAACCAAGTCATAGGAAATCCTCAATGGGTTTTTGAGATAAGTTGCCACAATGACATCACCAAGAACGATGTTATCAAGGGACAGGATGTCTTCCAGCTCAACCTCTGTGAGCCCGGCCTTGGCCATGGTGATATATCCTAATGCTCTGAAGACAAATCGTTGGCCCAATTTGTTCTCCACAGAATAGAACAGTTGCTCTATGCTTTCATGCACTGTAGAACAGAGCGACCTGTCGTCCACATCTTTGTGAGATCTCCAGTGAACTACTTCTCTGTAGATGAGGTTGACAAACATTGGCAATGTACACTTGGCAAGTGCCTCATTGACATAGATCTGTTGGCCTGAGGTGACCTTTCTCTTCACCCCCAGCAACTGCTGTTTTAATGTTTGGCTGCAGACTTTGCGGTCTCTCTGGATTAATTCCACATAATACCCCTCATCATGGATGAGGTGGCGGAGCTTCTGCAAGATGCCATGTTTATTGGGCAACGTTGATACTACAATGCGGACTGTTCGAGGCAGGTGTATGGGGAGCCACCACAGCTTGCGAGCTTCATCGGCATCTGAGAGCTGCTCCAGGGCATCCAGGACGATGACCAGGGGCCTGTGGAATGAAGATTCCCCTAGGAGGTTGATCAGGAGCTCCCTCATCTCCTGAATCTTGTTAGGCAAAAAGTGAATCAGGCAGCGGTAGTTTATTGCAATCTGTTCACAGATGCTCTGGAGGAGGGTTCGTAGGTCTGTGGAGAGCTGGCTGGAGCCAATAAAACGAACAACGACCACTGGGTCAGTTTCAGGGCCCATCTCTTTCTGCAGCCATGTGTAGGCCTGAAAAACAGCATCGAGAGGTGACTGTTACTACATGTAGGACAGGATTATTTAACAGAAAGTTTCTTTAAAAAAAAAAAACAGGTATATAAACTGTGAATCATCTTAGGATATTTTAGACATTTGTTTCTGTTTACTGATTAAATGTACCACAGGCAAACAATTGGAAGAATCAAAGCTCTAAAAGTAGAGCAGAAACCCTAATTAGTTGTTATTCTAACAGTAAGAGGCAGAGCTCATTACCACAGCAAGAGAGAGAGGTTTAATACATTTTACCTCGTGACAGTATATATATATAGTATAGTATTAGAATATCGTATTTATAATGTTGATTTTTTTAAGCCATCATTTTCAAAGTCATGAATACACATTTTCTTTTTTTCAAATCACGAGAAATATTCTGTGAATGATTGAGGATTCATTGATGTTTTGATTTCATTCATGAATTCATAATATGCCCCAGATGACATTCGGGAGGAATTAAGATGCTATTTGACACTTGTAGAGAAACACAGATAATGCCTACGACACATTTAGCTTTGAGTATGATTGAGAAAGGGGGAGAGAAAAAAGAGAGACACAGAATTGGTCAGTATTAACGATTTTAAATGTATGTTTTACATGTGTTTGTAGCTGTGTTGTTCAGTTTTTGTGGACAGAATGAATGTGGTGACTGAATTCATAAAAGTTAAACCATTTAAAAAAAAAAAATCATCCTACTTGATTTCGATAAGTCTTGTCTGTTAACTGAATGTCACAGTAAATTGAAATGTCACCATAAGTGGCGTTCCATATGACCTCTAATATACCTACAACATAACTATGCATAAGCCTAATTTCCACTATTACAATCAGCCACAAAAGAAAGTCTGCATGACCTAATTAACCTGATTCTTGCACATGGTAAATGCCAGCTATTATCATGGGCCCAAAATTCAGCAGAGTCTCCTTAGACTCTGTACTGGCAATATTCTTGAACTGTGCCAAAGCAGTCATTGCATTGTTATGAACCACTGCTTTATAGTATGCTGTAACAATCTCTTTAACAACTATTTAATTTATCATCTGATGCATTTATTCATATTCTGCAACCGTGTGTGGTTTGGCTGATGATATGAAAGCCCGCTTTATGTTCTCACACAAACTGTATTGAGGCCTAAGGCTTCTGGTTTAACACAGTGACCTGAGAAGAACTGCGATATCAAAGCTCAAAATGAAACGTCTGTGTAATTCCCTTTGACATTATCTTTGTCTTTGCCACTTTATTATTTTCTTCTCTTTTGCTAAGGTGTGCAGAATCACTTGTAAGAAAATCTTTGGTTTTGGAAATGCAATCTGTTAAGAAACGTTTTAAGCTTATTGCAAAGGTGTAGAAGGTGTAAGCATGCGTACTGATTTTTTATTTTTTTGCCATAATCTTAAAGCATCCAGGTTTTCTTTGCTGTAGATACTAAGAAACACTACAAACAAACCCCAGCTACTTGGAGGAAGACAGAGAGCCATATTTTCTGAGCTCAAAATTGAGACCAAAATGCTCCAGGGTTCAGATGAATCAAACCAAACAGGCCAGGTGTGAATCACACCCACTGGACTTGAGGAGCAGCGCAGTGGTCCCAGAACTCTTCTGTCTATTGTCGGTCTCCTTTAGTCTGGCTTTAATCTAATAGAATCCCTTTCTCCTTCAAGCACAATGGGCACAAAGGAATTCAAGCTGTTATTTTTTTCATTTGAACTTACTGTTAATACTTAATGGCTGGAGATACATACACAAGACAATATGGTTGTGAGAAGACTTAAAAACTTCTGCAGTAGGCATTCACGATTAAGTGTTTTAAGACCTGTTACTAAATGATGAGATGGACACGACAACTATAACCGACAAAACACATGTGAACTGGGCAGCCCACTTATACATGTATCAGTACAATAGAATGAAGTAGCTTATGTGTGCTTGTAAGTAACCTGAACGTGAAAATATTGAATCAAACCATAAAAGAACATTTCTGCTTAGTTTGAATTGACAAAACTGATGCCAAGAAAGCAGAAAAACGTGTTTCACTTGAGGAAACAGTGTGACTTTCATCGTGTTACAAAGAAGCTTTGAAAACATCCACAATGACGACAACGTGCAAAAATGCTGAGGCTTTCAGAAACCTAATGGAAAACAGACACATCATGAAGCAGTGCAGTAGCGGTATCAGCTGGAAATATTCGGTCAAACAAAATAACTCGAAATCACAGAGTTTTTATTACTAATACTTCCCTTGCTATTTTTACCTCACCGTTCTTGCACTTCGTCTCACCCTCCCTCTGCTCTGATTGTGCGTATGTACATTTGGAGTTGCTACCCTGAAGCCACAGACCTTATAGTGACCCCCTTTTTTTACTTAAAGGTCCCTTATTGTTGCACTTTAATCAAAGTGTCGTGTGTCTCCATTTTTCAGCATGAAATATTGTAAAACTGGTTCACTTCACTACAATAGTAGGACTCCTGGTTTTCGAGGCTGTTCTAAATGGGTGTTTAAATACCGATGTTGTCCCCGCCCCCTTCAGGAAGAACTAACTTTGTGTGTGATTGACAGTCGGAGCAGTCAAGCTGGGAGACTGACTAGCTGTGGGGGAACAAAACACAATAAAAAAACATTTAATCTCAACTCTCATTGCTGAATTTTTACTTTCAAACCTTTATCTGGTCATTTTAACCACGGAAGTTTAGACTTTGATCTGTTTTGTTGCTGTTACTCTAACATTTTACACAGCTGCTACAAGCTGAAATTGGGTAGTATGAATGGCGCTCACAATGAATGTGTGCATTACTGTGACACTTATTACAAAGGTTGGACAGGCGGGGTAGATATGTGGGTGTCTGCTGTGTGATCTTGGCTACAGTGTGATCCTAATGTAGCCGGGCAGCCAGATGGCACGCGAGATACAGAATAGCGTACATGTGCACAAACGTAAACCTACACACACACACACACATGTGCATCCATTAAAAAACTAATGTAGGCAAAATCACCGCAAATGTTAACGCATAACTGAGAACGGCACGGCTACAAAGTCGTACACAGATGTGGACCGACACACACACACACTTGCGTTGGCTTCGCAGGATATTAGAGATGTGTGCATGGCAATGGACCGACTCTTGGCAGACGCACAGATGGTCAAGCAAGCGTTTGATGAGAAGAGATGAACAGTTGCACGCCCCCTCATACTCTGCCGTACAAAGATGGACACATGCTCAGATCAGACGGACAGACTAAAGCAAGCGTGAACATGCTGAGAGGCAGAGCGAGCGAGAAAGAGGGGGACAGAGATGACACAAAAAGGAGAAAGATAATTTTTTAAATATTCTCAGCTTGCACGTCTCACCTCTTTGGCCACCTCAGACAGCAGCAACGTCTTTCCGGTGCAGGGTCCTCCGTACACCACTAGAGGGCTCATCCTGCTTCCCTTAGACGGCATGAGATACTCTTGCACGTAATCCAGCGTCTCGGCCTTGTACTCGTAGAGGGCTGCGTAGTTTTTACACAGGGACAGGTGCTGCAGGATCTCGTCGTACAGCGGGTCGGTCTCCGTGTCAAAGTTCTGCTGGACCGTGGCCTGGATGATATCCACCATGTCCTCGTAGAACTGCTTGCACAGGCCTTCCACGTAGTGACTCTCCACTTCTTGGGAGTAGCCCAGCTTCATGTCGCAGTGGGTGACGGACGAGTAGACGCGGAGGTTGGAGGCGGCCACCACCGTGGGGATGAACTCGTCCCGAACCTTCAGGAGGCGTTCGTAAGCTTCCTGGTTGCGCATGACGCGGTCGCCGCTCACCACGATGTCCATGTAGCGGGCCATCTCGGGGAGTTTGGCGAAGCGGTCGAAGTTGGAGATCTTGCGAATGTAGCAGACACATTTCCTGAGAAAGGCAGGAGTTTGTTTTCCGAGGGCAAAGTCTAATTCATCCTCCAAGGCTGAAATGAGGGGAAAAAAAAGGAAAAGTCTTCTGTAACTTTTTAAAAATTACCGCATTACTTTTAGTACATTCTAAAGTAATTTTCAAGTAGCTCCCAAAACCTCCCCGCTGGATTATAATGTAATATAAAGTCAAACGCTTAAGAAATGGTCGAATTAGATTTCAAAGCCGGACAGGTTTTAGTAGCTTTTAGCCTCTGATTAGTCAGATTTCTCCTGAGCCTTATTTTAATGAAACAAAGTTGATAAATTCACATAAGCCAACAGCGCCGAACAAAGACCCCACAGACTGAAACTCTGCCAGCATCTCCTGTGTAGTTTAGCTCACACGGTAGCCTGCTAATTAGGTGGGGAAGACATAAATTGTGAAAGGAAACGTGTGAGTTCCAGGGGACGGCGTAACTTCCTCCATACAATGCAATCAAACGCTGCTTAAAGCCCAGTGCGCTCAATTAAAGCGCAGTTTCCTGAAACAAAAGAGCTGCTTTGTTTTTATATAAAATACTACAATGTGGACGGCAATTACTTAATTAGCTTTGTATTATTTTTTGGTCCCACAATTGATAAAAAAAAAAACTGTGCCTGGCTTATGAAACACAAACTTGTCGTCGGATCCCAGCAGCGCACTGCTTAGATCATGTCCCAAAATGACAGCCTGAGAAATGAAAAGGAGATGTCTTGAAAGATTAGCTCGGTGCTGTCCAAACAATTCAGTAATAACTGCGTGACTCCCAAATGAAAAGTCTCTTACAGACAGGAACTGATATGGAGCCCATTAAATCAACTTTACAGTGTGAAGAGAGAAAAAAAAACAGAGTGGGAGGAATTGCACTTGACTCCTCTGACTGGAGAAACCCAGAATACCTGGTTTGGGTGTTTCATCTAACTCGTATATGTAAGGGCCACGAGGACATGTACAATAATCACTTCATAATTAGCATATTAATTACTGCAAATTGCATATAAAATCTCCAGAAAATACATAAACAAAATAGTCACTGAGCACTTCCTTTTAGAACAATATGTTTTCGGCCCCCGCTGCTCAGATTAATAACCGTGAGTCGAGGCTACGATGTAATCGATCAATCACTGTCACCTGCTGAGGCGACTCTGATGGATCTGATTGCATCTCATCTCTTGTTATCAATTTAGCTACAAGGTGATGGTCTAGAAAATAGAATCCGTCACTAAAAATACAGCCTTTGCTGTGAGATTAATGACCCTGAAGGTTAATTTTATACTTGAACGATGCATTTTTTTTGTCGTCTCTGCCTTTGGTACGAGACAGCCTTGGTGTATAAATGCTCTTTTTGTCAGCTGTTCACTGTTACACACTGTTGCAATTATCAGTTTACAGTATACAACAGTAGAGATTCAAAACGTCACCTTAAATTAACTGCACTATTACAAAGCTAAACAGTGGGTTATTTGTGCTGATGCGAGAGTAAAAACTAACAGTTAAGATCCACTCTGATGCAAGCACAGCCCAACCCCACACACATTTTACTATATGCATCCTAGGTGCCATTGATAAATGTCTTCCCAGAACCTTTGGCACACAAGCAGCCTCACATCAACACACTGTCACCTCTGTGCTTCACTGTCAGGACTGTGCATTCACTGT